AAGTATAACAATTATTGCGCAACTGCTTTCATCAAAATTGGATGCCTAGACTTACCTCCACGTGGTGCACCCTGGGCAACGTATACTCATACGGCAAAAAGTTCTATCAACTGGCAGTTGACCTCTGACTTCAAACTTCCATAACCCCACTGTACGTCATATTCGACCCTTTCCACAGTACTCATCTAGCTTTTTCTCTGCCTTTGTGTCTGTCTGTCTGTTACATCTGAGAATCGCTCTTCTTTCCCCTTGCCGAATTTTTCTCACTTTAATGTTCCTCCCTTCTGTGAAGCCCGAAGTCAACTAAGGGGCTAATGATAACTATCACAATGCCTGCCATTTGAAATAATTAAATAAATAATGCTATAGAAACTTTTATAAACATTTACCTATTCGGCTTTACGCTATCAGATATTTTGTAGCTCTATGACATTTTAATACTTATTTCCCAGCCATAACGTTGCGGAGGCAGACACAAATATTTATAATCGACCTATAATTGGGTCAGATTTACAGACCCCGTCTTTTTTTAGAAAAATAGCAAAAACTGCTTTAACGCCGTTTATTCTGCTAAAACAAAACTAAGGACAAATATGCGATTTATTCAAAATAAATGGCTTGACATTTGTGAAGTTCTCTGCTGATCTACTTATCAGATTGAGCTAAAGTGATTAATTAATCAAAAATGTGGTTTAAAATTGATAAGCATAAGCCACTTATCATCTTTTTGCCGGCAGACTGCGAGTCGAAACGGTCCAGGTTTACAAACTTATCTACACTGAATTCAAATTAAGTAGATATTTATTCGTTGTCTCTGAAAAGTGTACTCTGACCAAAAATAACCAAGAAGGTAGAGAGGTTGTTATTGGTTGAAGAAATCGTTTATTAAACTGTCAGAACACATATGTCCGGCATTCAGGACACTTTGCATGATTACTCATCCTTAAATGGTCTCATGAAAGCACCAATAAGAGGGAGGGGGGGGGGTTAGATGCGACTTAATTAAGATTTTATAATTTCATAAAAGACTGCTATCACCATGAGAAATCTCTACTTTTTAACTTCGAGCAGAGTGAAAATACAGCAGAGAGACTCACCTTCCAAACCCTTTCTTTCTGGTCTCCACTTATCAAATTGGTTAATCTCACGACATCGGACTTGGCCCTTATTTCCTAATGGTTACAAGGCATATTGCAAGTGGAATGATGATTATCAAACTCAATTGCCTCTTTGATTAAGTAGATCATTTTTGTGGCTTATTATCTAGGGTATGGTGCAATATTTTACAAGTTGAATTAGTTGTTAAGAGGGCTTCGGGGAATATAGAGTGTGTTCTTGAAATCATGAAACGTCACAAAGTGCTTAACAATTAAGTTAGGGCAACAAGGGTCATACACTACTTGTGATATTAAAAGATTGGGTTAAAGATATTCTCAAAAGGAGTATAGTTTGGTATATAATATCCTAGTGTCAAATTTCCAATGAATGATTCAAAGATTGTGGATTTATATTCGCAATATACGGATCTGTTTTGGTTCCATTTATCAACAATTTTCCTCTAATTTATTGGAATTGGGTCATAGCCTAGTACATACTTTCGAGATTAACTGTGCTCACTAAAATTCACAGCAGGTGCTCAAATTCTCCTATACTCCACTCGCCCGTACCCCTTTAATGATCAATAAAGCCGCTTCAAATTTGAACAAAAATATGTGGTGGTTACGATGAAAGAAAAAAAATTGAAACCCCATCATTTCAACGCGAATGAAACGTCATGTTGATTACACATAAATGGAAATAAATGGGTGCGTGAAGAGTTCATTAAAACACTCGACAATAGCCTTTCTTTTTATTAACAATTTTAACTGCTTTCAATAAATAACTCCCAGTCAATCCACTCCCACGTACCTTAATCTTTAGGGAGATAAATGGCTTGGTAAAGATTGAAAAATGTAAAAGTTGAGCATCACATTGGTAAGTTTATCTTCGACTTCCTTTCTTCCACGTTTTAAGCCACATCCTTCTAGTAGACCAATAAAATGGTATATATTTGAAATGGTGAAGTAGGATAACCATGTCTATTCAAAGGCTCAGATGAAATAGCGTTCGACGAAATATTATTGATTAATGGATCGAATGGTGCTTTTATCTACGTACTTTATGTTTGAAATTTTAAAATAAGTGAAATTTATGTTGAACTGATGAGGTAGAAAATCGTCTCCAAAAAATTGAGTTTGGAACAAATAGGAATTTGTTTGTGCACTTTGAATGACTTTAAAATGTTAGAAATACGAATTTTTAGATATATTTTTCCGAACCGTGTTTTCTTGGAGAATTAATACTACTTTTAAATCATTTTTTTGTGGTTTGAATTAGTTAATCGGTTTTAATGAAGTCTTCAGCAAACTTTCTTTTTGGAAGTCTTCCACAGTAGGCCTCATTATATTTTGACCGGGTAGCGGTGGGACGATAGACTTGCCTTCACGCAGTGCACCCTAAACAGGTATTCTCATGCGGCAAAAAATTTTATTAACTGGCAGTTTGCTTCTGACTTCAAACTACCATCACCCCACTGTATGTCATAATTTCTGACTTCAAACTACCATCACCCCACTGTATGTCATATATGACCCTTTTTACCGTACTCAACTCACCTTTTCTCTACCTTTGTCTGTCTCTTTTACATCTGTGAATCATTACTCTATCCCCCCTCTCGACATTTTGCCACTTTGATGTTCCTCCTCCTCTCTATGAAGCCCAAAGTCAGCTAAAGGGCTAATGATAACTATCAAAACGCCTGCCTCTCCAAGGTAGTATTTTGACCGATTAGAGAATAAAGTGGAGTACAGTTGTATGGAAAGGAGAATGAGCCCAGCATTTTCAAAGTTCAACACATGTTTATTTCTTAATATTTGTTTAGAAACCAATCCTTTACACAATGAAATATTTGATAAAATTTGCCTACTTCATTCTTCTAGAAACAGAGTTTTATTGTTCATTTGTTTAGATGAAAAGTTTTTATTATTCTATAAGTATTTAATTAATGGCATTAATTGAAGTTTATCTTGGGTATTCAAATGACAGAAGCAATCGGTTGAAGAAAATTGATTTTGAAGGAGAGGTGGGGCGGGGATGGGGTGGAGTGAGGTGGTATTTGAGTTATCTGACAATCGAAATAAATTTGGAGATAAATGGATTCTCACAAGTATCATCATTAAAATATTCATTATTTTAAATGAAAAATTTTTAACCACATTCCCCTTAGGTTTGTGAAGTGTTGGAAGGAATTCTCCTAATTTTTTCTGTGCTCATTTTAAAACAAAATGCCATTTTATTTATTACAATCACTATGATCAATTGCAATTTGCTTGTAGGAAAGATTTTCTCCTCAGTGGTCACGGAATATTGTTGTCGGGTATTTATCATTAACCGGAAGACAGCATTTGAAATTTAACTTTGGCCCTATCAATCGTTCTTCAGGAAAATATTACACAATGTGGATATCAAATCCAGAGATAGTAAAAAACCTCTCACTGCTCGCCTTTCTTTCAATTAATTTTATTTGTTTCTCACAGTTAAAATTTAATTTATTTACTATAATAATAATAATAATAACAACTAGTTGAGAAGTCATAATTCTTTCAATTTTAATATTTCGGCATATATATTATCTTCGTGCTCACTGCCGAAAGAAAATATATAGTAGAATTAAAGTGGTCTGATCGATTGGACTAAGCTATTTCTGGTTTCCACAGTCTTGCTTCATCCATGACTGAATATCTGTGGGTGGTCTTTAAAAATCTGTCGGAAGGTAAATATTTTGCTCCAGCTCATAATTCTCTTAGTGGCAGGAAGCATAATCGTTATAGATCTCGAATATTTTAAAACACACGCCACGCGTTCATTAAAATAAGGCTTATTGATCTTATTTAAATCCTCTCTGTTTAAAGATGGTGCACTCCATTTCGACCATAAAATAAAGTAAGATTAATGAATTTCATTAAGAATTAGGGACTTGAAAATATTCAAACTATAGTATGCGCATTAATGCGAATTATTGTGTGCTATAATTAAAAATTTAGCAAAAGCGTTCTTACTGAACCGAAACGTAACGGAGTCATGTTCTCATTTTCAACTTTAGAATAATAAATCACTGCTCAAATAATGAAGATAAAATTACTTTATACGTATCAATGTAAATTCAATAAATAAAAAAATGTAAGTGTAGATTTAACTTCTGATTTAACAAAGTTCCAGAGAAATATTCCAAAAAGCGAAATCGATTGTCATATTGCACTAAAGTACAGCAAATATGGTTCTTCATTTTTTCCAATACAACTACAATGAAATATATATCAAGAAATAAGCTCTCTCTGAGAACAGTTTCCAAATTATAGGGTACAGATTAGCTTCTCCGTTGTGTACATCTATTCTTTTAACATCTTGCTATGCGTTTAGTTCCTCGCCCCTTTGGTCATTTTATTTGCCATGTGTACAGATAAGACTAATGTAAAATATTTAAGCGTAGAACGCACTTCTCTTGCAGTTTGGATGTATGGAACGCGTATAAGAACATTTAGCCCAAAATATTCAAGTTCTTTTTGTTGAGCAATGTTGTCTAATAGGCATTGTGTGTTTAATTGGGTCTATTTTGACGCATATTGATCGCCTTTAGACAAAATAAGTACCAAAAGATTTTATTGAAAGGTTTTAGAACCAAAATGTATTTGTTCCATTCATATAAAATAATCTATAAAATGTTTCGGTAGCTATCTTTATTAGGTTGAAATCTATGTTGAGGTGATCTTACTGGAATAGTCTAGCTCTGCAACAGTTGCAATTGACTCATAATTTTAATCTGATGCAGTATAATAAGATCTGACCCGATATAGACACTTTCACTCTGGGATTTTCTGGGGTTGTGTCATATTTTTAAAGATACGTTGCAGATTAAATCACCTCCTAGTTGTTCGATAGTTGATAATTTGATTAAATCAGAGATGACGCTATTGGAAAACGTAAGTAAAAGTGAACGATCGAGATAATAACTCATTGATCCACCAATGGCAGCAATCTATTATGTTTCATTTAGAGCCTTGAAATGTCTCTTGGAAGGGTTAGTTATTTTTAAATGCTCTATTTTATATGAACTTACAATATTTAAGGTCAATTCGTGAATATACCAAGAAATCCTATTGCCCTAATCAAAAGAAATTGATGCGTTGAGTGAATAGAACTCTTGGCTTAAAATTTACGCCTCGACTTCAAGTATGAAGACGTCACCGATCACGCAAGAACCTTCATTATTTTTTGTGCTATTGGGATATATAAATTCAGAATTCAATGATGTTAAATTTAAACAAAGAGAATATCATTTTTTATGAATCTGAAAAAGAAAATACACACAAATGTGTATGTCTGAACAGGAGAGGAATATTGAATTGAAAGGTCATACGAAGTTGCCTCTTCGATTGATTCAACTCTTGAATTCTCCTTCGAAATAAGCTTTATCGCTACTAGATCCGTAACAGAAGGCACTATTGCCGTTTGAAGCATGCTCAATACGGCTATCGATTTTGCTCGATGTCACCAAAACTCATCACGTTGGCGGCATCGGTCTGATGTCAGACACGGGTGAGTGCGGTTGGGTACATTTTTCAAAAAAAATAATTCGGGCCTTAAAGAGTTAAATCAGGACAAGACGAGACACGGTAGAAAGAGACAGGCAACTAGGGTGCGCAAACTAATTAACCGTGTGGAGCTCCGACAATTTTTCCAAGGAAAATATTCACGCACTCCCTCTATAAATAAATATATGTATATTTATACCTTGACGGGATTGCTCTATACTACAAATTGAGCCTTAATATAAATTCAGTTTTTATGCTTTACATAGAAATAAAAAGTGTTTTGACGCGGGTGTCACATTTCCATTATATTCTATCAGTTTATGTGTTCATATCACTTGCCTACGACTGCCCTAATGTTTTCAAAATCCAATTCGCCTCTTTACTATTGGGTTTCAATTTTCAATCATTTTCGAAACCAGGTCAACCACTTAGAATTCAAATTTAATATATTCTAGTGGTTTATTCTGAGAAATTCTTGCATTAAAACTTTCTTTTTCCATCAATATCTAAACTCGGTGGAAACATTAAGAAAGGAAGAAACTAAAAATCAGGAATCTAAGAAGCGACGGTAGCAATACACTGAAATTTAATCGTGGTTATAGGCTTGACGACAATCTTCCTAGGGCATATACCAAACAAAGATGGAGAAGAAACTGCCTATAAGTCTGAGGAGCTTAAATTGAATTCTGTCATTTAATCAACTCTCTCCAAGGCCCCACTTGTGAAGGTTTATAAAATCCCCTCTACTAAAATCTGCACGCATAAAGTTGGTTTTATCTTCTTTTTAACATAATTCTTAGGTTGCATATCCTCCAGGGTTACAATTCAAGAATTTGGAACCTGTTACCAGGCCGAGAACTCTTAGCTTTCCCTTTACATTTGATCTTTTTCAAGAAGGTGCTATTCTATGTATTGAATATAATGAACCGGTTATGGCTGCAGCTAATACTTCTGCCGGCAAAACAGTAGTAGGAGAGTACACGTCATTTGTATTTAAATGTTTATTGACGAAATCATTCCATTTTACACCTCTTTTTTATTTGTACCTTGTAGATATGCCATTGCTAAAGCCCTGGGTGAAAAGCGTCGAGTAATCTATACAACTCCTATTAAAGATCTTAGCAACCAAAAGTATCGGGAGTTTTTTTTAGGAGTTTGAAGAGGTAGGATTGCTTACCGGTGATGCTACAACCAATATTAACGCTAGTGTTCTCATTTATGACAACTGAAATATTTTTTCCAAGTGGCAGGCTTTTTGATATTTATCATTCGCCCTTAAACTTTGACTTCAGCTTCCCCCATGGGTGGGTGGGGGTACTTGTATTGCAGTTAATTAATAGCAGTTCATTAGCTGTCTTCTTGCTTCCCAGTATCTCTGGGTTTCCGTCGTTGTCTTTAGGGCTGGATTACATTTATAGCGGTTAATTAATAGCAGTTCATTAGCAGTCTTCTTGCTTCCCCGTACTCTGCTTTCAGCTCATTAGCTGTCTTCTTGCTTCCCAGTATCTCTGGCTTTCTTGCTTGTCTTTAGAGCTGGACACCGAATCAGGTGGGTCTTCCTTGTCTTTAGGGCTGGACACCGAATCAGGTGGGTCTTCTCCTTGTCTTTAGGGCTGGACACCGAATCAGGTGGGTCTTCCTGTCTTTAGGGCTGGACACCGAATCAGGTGGGTCTTCTGTGTCTTTAGGGCTGGACACCGAATCAGGTGGGTCTTCTCGTTTCCTCATGTAGGTTACATAGAGGGCATGTGGGTTGGAGTGTTTACTCCCAATCTGTGAAGGTGTTTTGCCAGGCAATCGTATACTCCCAATCTGTGAAGGTGTTTTGCCAAGCAATCGGAAGGCTACATAGAGGGCATGTGGGTTGAGTGTATTCTCCCAATCCCAATCTGCAGAGGGCATGTGGGTTGAGTGTATACTCCCAGTCTGTGAAAGGGGGCTGGTTGAGTGTATACCCCTATTCTGTGAAGGCGTTTTGCCAGGCAATCGTGTCCGGTCAGTGCGTCTTCTCCATTTCCTCCTGCAGGTTACATAGGGGGCATGGCTTCTCCATTTCCTCATGTAGGTTACATAGAGGGCATGTGAGGCTCCTGTAGGTTACATAGAGGGTATGTGGGTTGAGTGTATACCATTTCCTCCTGTAGGTTACATAGAGGGGATGTGGGTTGAGTGTATACTCTTAGGTTACATAGAGGGCATGTGGGTTGAGTGTATACTCCCAGGCTACATAGAGGGCATGTGGGTTGAGTGTATTCTCCCAATATAATCAGGTGGGTCTTCTCCATTTCCTCATGTAGGTTACATTGGGGGCATGTGGGTTGAGTGTATACTCCCAATCTGTGAAGGGCATGTGAGTGTTTACTCCCAATCTGTGAAGGTGTTTTGCCAGGCAACCGTTTCCTCCTGTAGGTTACATAGAGGGCATGTGGGTTTAGTCCTGGTACGAAGTCAAACTCAGCAACGGCTTCGATTCTTGGCCAGTTGGCTATA